CTGAGCTAAATCCCCAGCCCCCAATTTTATTGTTTTATTTTCAAAGAAAGATGGAGGAAATAATGCATTATTGTTGAATTTGTGCTGCTTAATTCAAATTTTTTTCCCCCAGTGGCATGTTTAATACAGCTTATATTTATTACTGAATTTGATTTTCCTCTGCAAATGACTAAGCTTCTCTTATGGCAAGTATGTTGTGAGTATGCTAAGATCATCTGTTTTCATTTGTAGCATAATTATCATATATCATGTACTTTATATCTGCAAATATCATCATCTTCTTCATCACATTTTTCTGGCAAGAATTCACAGAATTTATATGCTTATGAATTCCTTCATTGGAATTCATTCATTCCTTCATTGGAATGGTATTCCAATGCCATGAAACATAAAAAAATGGAGAATTCAAGGGAAAATAATGTTTTCACATAGAAGTCTTATTTTACTATTGTGAACCATTTATGAACTAAAAATATTTTAATTCCATGAAAAGACATTGCTGTTATTATAAGAATACTATTTGAACTTGGAGAAATAAAACTGATATGAGGGGCTGGGGATTTATCTCAGCGGCAAAGGCGCCTGCCTGGCAAGCGCAAGGTCGTGAGTTCGGTTCCTGATACCAGAGAAAAACCAAAAAAAAAAAAAAAAACTGATATGATTATGCCTTCATATTACTTTCATATATACATACTAAATGCAAACTCCTATACTCAAGCAAGTGTGCTCCAGTACCTGATAACTGAGAGGTGAGAGGTATAAATGTAAAAGAAAATAAAAACAAAGAAAGAAAAAGGAAAAGATATCTAGGGAAGAGAATGTCAAAATACAAATAAGAAAACTGTGTATATAAAACAGGAAACACAATATTATGTCACTCAACTATAACTATGTAAATTCATTTTTAAGCGTGCAGCCATATGAAAGATTTTATTTTGTTTTGTTTTTTTGGTTTTTCTACGGTACCGGGAACCAAACTCAAGACCTTGCGCTTGCCAGGCAGGGGCTTTGCCGCTGAGCTAAATCCCCGGCCTCCATATGAAAGATTTTAAACTGGTGAATAATAAAATTTTCAACAGTTTTTATTGTGAATCTTTGAAACATGAGCAAGTTTTATCCCAGATAGAAAGAAAGAAAACGTTAAGAGACAAACGTAAAAAGAGAATTCCAAAGACTGTCATCCACAGCTCTATAGCTCTACCTAACCTCAAGAGGAAAGTGTTTTGTTTTCCATTTCTGCTAGAAAATAATGAGAACTTCTAAATGGGTTTGTGATTGCTGGGCTATCATTAAACTAATAGACCCTAAGTAATTCTACCTTTTTCCTATTATTCTGCAATCTTTTTACCATGCATAATTTATTCCTTTGAAAGGAATTTTCAGTTTTAGTTTATTTTATGTCCTCTGTTTTGTAGGAAAAAAACCCTCAAGTTATCATGCACATTGCATCCATATTTATAATGTGAGGATAAAAATAGATACAGTATAATATAAATCCTTGGGAATTAGAACTTTCAAAAATATATGCTTCCTGATTGTGATGTCTTATTTTTTTTAATGCATTATTTTTGTGAAGGATTGGTGGAAACTTTATACCTTATGTATCTGATATCCAAACAATTTTTGTTCATTTTTATTGAAAGTAAAAAGTGAAGTCCCTATCTCTGGTTTGTATCATTTTAAAAAAACAATAGAAGCTAGAACCCTTAACGGTATAACTGTGTCACAGTGGTGCATCAGGGCTTTCGCCAACTCTTCATCAACTTCTTATCTGATTGAGAACACTTAGATTTTAGACTTTTAAGCAGTAAAGTTGTTTGAGTATAGTTAAATAATGCAGAACAAGTAAGAGAGTTAGTTTACCACTCAAGCTTCCTTTGCTCTTGTGAAGTAGTATTCTTTTTCTAAGCTTTTGAAAAAAAAAATATTTAGAAGCTTAGAAACGAGACTTTTCCCATCCAACTATACATCCATCACAGAATTTTTCCTCAGGCCTAAGTTCCAGTCAGAATGACAGGGTAAGTATATCCCTGGGTATTGGTGCGTGTGTGGAAGGAGGTTTTTCAATTGGGGGACACTGACGGGATAAATTGTTCATACTAAAAGATAAAAGAAAATAAGAAAAACCTCATCATTTTTTTCTGCATAATGGTTGCTCCTTGACAAAAGACCGAAGTAGATAACTACACAATATCTAAACAAAAAACTTTTATTGTACTAAAGTATTTATAAATGATTGATCTATAATGATCATACGCTTCTGTAATAGTTACTAAAAAGTGTGCTTTGGATAAGAAATACATTCTGGCAGTCTGCACTGCAAACTTTGTTTAAAGCACTAAATTGAATATCAAGTCCTCTGTCAATGACAGCAAGGAAGGTTCCAGTACAACATTTGTTTCATAATCCTGGATCTGACTCTACTTCTTTCTCTGCAGCTCAAGTTGCCAGCAAATGCTTAACTGGAGCACAAGAGTCAATCTTTGTTTGGTTAACAAATTTCCCAGCAAAATATGCCCCCCAATTCCCCAAGAGCTGTAGTGATGTCATATCCGTTGTCCAGGTCTCCACACCTCTCTCAGTAGTTACTCCCTTTTTCTTTTTTCTTGGGTCAAAACTTTTGAGGTGGGCTGGCTGTCTAGCAGCAGACGAGAGAGAAGGTAGACTGGCACACGGGCGGAGGCGCTTCAGCACCTCGGCCAGCGCCCACAGCAGCCCAACCCACCCTCTGAGCTCCGGACTCCTAGCTCTGAGAATGCCTGCGGAATGATCGCCCCCCAGGGCGGCTGCCTCTGCTGCCGTTACTGCTACTGCCGCTGCCACCGCCTCTGCCTCCACTCTGCTCTGACTGGCAGGCAGAAAGTGCAACTGACGAGGGAAAGGTCTCTGCAGTGAGAACGGAGCGGCTACATAAAAGAGAGTAGAGAGGGGACGAAAACCCAGATCAGAATGCAGGCGACGTCCAACCTTCTCAATCTCCTGCTGCTGTCTTTGCTGGCTGGATTAGACCCTTCCAAGGTATGGACCATATTTTGACTCTTGTTTGAAATAAATGTGGAATATGTAACAAACAGACTTAAATGCAAATAAATATGCCGAAAACGGCGCGGGAGGCAGCTCTTTCAGCTACCTTGGGCTGTCTGGTGCATCCCCACGGCTTGGAAGGTAACAAGGTGAACTACCGGAGGAATAGCTCCTCAAGGTAGAGTCCTGGTGTGAGGGGGGAGGGAACAAGAGCGCATAGAATGTGTATGGGCAGCGGGCAATGCGGCTCTCGGGGGAATTTAGCTTTTTCTTTGTCAAACTGCTCGCTGTTCTCTTCTGAAGTCGGACGGATAATGCAAAGGAGTTTGCAGTTGAAACAATGCGATCTATAAACATGTATTAGGAGATGGTGAACCGTTTCTTTGTTGAAAGCTGGGAAGCGTTTTCCAGCTGATTCTGGTCAATAATATTCCCATCGCAGACGTGCTGCGGTTTGTGTTCAAAACATTTGGGATGCTGCTTGCAACACACACGGCAGAGCGGCAGAGCCGTACTGTGCTGTGGCTGAGAGGCGTTTCTGGAAGGGGCTTGTGTTTGCTTCTCCCCTTTCCTTAAGGAAATTAGGGGACACGGAGGAAGTTCCAATTATCAGCGTTCAGAAACAGGAAGTAAGAAGAACCCTGTCAAACTAAGGAGGATGACAGGAAACATAAGTTGTCTCATAGCTTTTCAAGTCTGAAAATTATCGAGGACTGGCAAAGTGAAAGCTAAATACAAAGGCAGGAAGATATGAGAAAATGTTGTCAGTGATAAATGAGAAGTCTTGTGGGTGAAACTGAGGTTAATTTCAGAGCTTTGGCATTCTAGGAAAATCAGAAGTGTCTAGAAGAAGGCGTGAAGCATTTAGAAAGAAGTAAGAGATACGGTTTATTTATTATTTTACTCATTTAACTGATCGCCAGCAATTTGACACTTGGAAAAAGAGATGTCATTTCATTATGCATAATATTTTGAAGTGTTTTTTTTTACTATTGTAAAGTTATTTTTAAAGCTTTACATTGTCTCTGTAGTGAGAGATTAAGTTTTTTTCATAAATGAATAAGAGTAAACTATAACTAACATAATCTAATACTGTGATCATGATAGAGCTAGTCCTAGCATAGTACATAGCGAACACAGAATTATGTCACATACCCTCATAATTATTCATCTATGCTTCTTCTTCACAGACATCGGATGAAAATTAAAATTTTATTTTAAAGCTATGCTTGCACTGACGTTTTCATTGTTTTCATTTCACAGCTTCACACAGTTTGTGAATGCAATCTTAATGATCTTAATGGCATAGTTTACCTACTAAGAGATCACATTCTACACCTGCAATAAATATAATGATTGTGTTTCAAAATCTTAAATCTTCTTTTCTATCTGATTCTGCAACTGTAGTGACATATGTCACTGTCACTCTCACATGATAGTGCTTAAAACTTTTGAATATATTTCATTATATATCCTATTTGGAAAATTCTTAGTGAAATACTTCTAAGAAGGAAAATTAATGAGTTCATATAGATTTATGCCACTTTAAGTTTTATCATTTTTAAAAATTCAGAAATTTAAAACCTTATTAACAATTGCTTGTGTGATTTGTCTGATATCATTAATGCATAAATGTTTTCATTGCTAGAATGTCATTCTGTCTAAAATCAGGTATATATATGTATGTATATTGTTTTGTTAGATAAAAAGATTAATTTCCCCCAATGGCAGCCCATTTTTGGTTACTATAATCTAATCTAGTCTTAAATAGTTAACTTCTGCATAAAACTTTGTAATTTGATCCAACTGAACTGTGAATATTTTCTGCAATTGACATGAGAAATTCAGGGAAGGAAAGGAATACATTGACTTTTCAAATTGTCTTTCTCAGCTCACAGACAATTCAGGACACAGTGCCAAGAACAAAAGGTGGTATTTTGTTCTATACTACATTGACATTATACAGATTGACATTATACAGATTTCATTATATGAAAATTTCAATAACAAGTAATTTCAGCGTCAAGAGTTTTCAAATTTGTAGACAAAATGTTGCTTTAAAAAGGATGAAAATGAATTCTTTTGTAGTTTTATGTAACAATTTTCGGTTACAAACAATATTATAACCCTCCCCTAAAGTACAAATAACACCACTGTGTTCTCAAAATAATTGTCAATTAAATAATAAGCTACACATTTTCTGTTTTTTTAATTATAGTTGTTCTAGTAATAATGTAAATAATGACAGTTAATGAACATAAATTCTAAACGCCTGGTTTTATACATACAAATATGCTAAGGCTATTATACGCCATCATCAAATTTCAAAAATACATTTTTAAGTATTATTCTATTTTGGACTTTATTTTAAATATATGTTTAATCACATGCATGCAAAAAGACAAGCAATACAGGAAAGCTCTTAAAACTGAGTAGAGCATTTTTAAGGCATGGGATTCCACATAATAAAATATTGAATGCCAAACTTTACAGAGTGACTATATTATTTAATTTACTAAAAATAAAATAGTTTACTAAGAACAGTGCCAGTTTGATTATATGGAAGACAATATAATGCTCACATTTATATATTTTTTTCTCTTCTGTAATACAAGTTTACAAATCTTACATGACATTTTATAATTTCTTGGGTATCATCATTTGATGACAAATTATTTGAAAATCAATTTTCTCTTTAAATTAAAAAATTCAAGCATCAAAGTTTATAGAATGTACTTTCCTTCAGCATGAACTTACTTCTTTCTCTGACTTAACTCATGAAAAATTGGCAAGATTAATATTTTTCCAGGACAGAAAGGCAATTCACCAACAATTAATTATTTGTATTTTACATAGGCGTGCTATTGATTTTTCTCCAAGGAAAATTGCTTGAATTATGTTTTCTTAATTAAATTCTAATTAACAACTTTTCAGTTCCTTTAAAAAATTCATGGATATATCATTTTGCCTATTTTAAGAGACATCAATTAATTTCATGTGTAATGGAGCATCTGAATTATAGACAAAATGCCAAATCACCATTCAATAAGGAAAATTAAAAACAAACTGAAAGCTTGTAGCCATTCACTTATTACTCAGTTTCATAGAAAAGGGTGATTTCTGAGCAGAAAATTCCTGGAGAAGGCTGCTAGATGGCATCTATGTGCTTTTAAACTGAAGGCACTGAGCTCAGTAATGACCTTGATTGTAGGAGAGTAGACTGTTGTTGGGTTTTTTCCTTTCTTTTACAAGAAGATTTTCAGTAGGCCATTATTTGAGCATTATAACAGAACAGAAATCCCCTTGAATTAGATCCATGAATTTCTCTTCTCTGCAATGCTGAATTACAAAGACAGAAGGCTGTAGATATAGTTGTGCAGGTCCCAAGCAGTGTATGCACACCGATGCCAGACCCTTGAATAGTTAAAAGGAGATCCCATGAGCATATCCAAATATCAGAGTAGCTGCTACACCTCACAGTAATCGTAGTTTTGTGATAAATGCATTGTAAAATGACCTACAGGGGACTCATGCTTAGATTGAGAAAGAAGCATGCACTACTTTTTCTCCTAAGAATATATTAAACTTATCACCATGATACTTAGTCACAATACAGAAAAAAATTATAGCAATGATTCAGCAGTAATATCTAACATCAAACTGTATTTGTTAAAAAGAACCTAGGCAATTAGTACTCTTGCCCTGAACAAGAATTTTTTTACAATATCATAGAAACGCGATTAGAACTAAGAGAATTTCAAAGATTGTGTTGTGTAAAGTCTCATGATGTAACAGACCCTAAGGGTCTGCATATTTTGGTATTATTAAATACAGTAATAAAAGACTTAGATCGTTAGAATCTAAAGTTCTTTCCTTTGCAATTGTTAAGTGAAACTGAGAAAAAAGCAAAATAGCAAGATACATAAACTGAGACTGCTACCACTTTGCTTTAAAAACCAGCTCTGAACTTTATCTTCTCTTAGATATCCTGTGTGATAGAGACTCGCTCCCTACTACAAGGGTCAACCCAAATCAGAACAGGATATGTGGATCAATACATTTGGCAAAGACTTGTGATTATGCACCAGTAAAGGCAGATATGATAAACACTGAGGCTTATTTATGTTTTAAGAGAGAAGCTTCCACTTCTCATTTTATCCCATCTTCCTTAAACCGATTAAACTTTTAAAAAAAAGTAAATACAACTCCCTTCTCACACTTTCTCTAGGCAAGTTGAGAATGTTACAGTGGCACTATCCTCCTTTATTTTTCTTCTAAAATTTTTATTCCCTGTATCTCTGCCCCTGGCCATTGAGAAGCCCAGTGCCCTGCTGACAAGGATACAGCATTCAGGCCCCTCCTTTCCAGTCCCTGCTTTACTACTGATGGTCCATATCGCTATGTGCCATTAGCATCCTGTGCTCTGAGGGCCTTTACCTATAAAATGATGGTCTAGATGTTCTTAAACCTTTATCACAGTTTAGAATGACTGTTTAGTAGTATTTGATCATTTATCAAGAAGGGAAAGTATTTTGTTGGTATACTGAGCAAGCTCATAAGCCTTAGGGGAACTGAGGGTGGACCTCAAAGGTCACACCGTAAAGCTTTATTTAGACTTCTGTGTTCGACATTCAGAGCCTTCACTTCCATCTTCCGGCTACACCATTGTCCTCTCTATCCACATACAGTCAAGGTATCAGGGATCATCCATTCATCTACCAAACTTCTTTCCCTTACCATTTATCAGTTCCCAGATCATTTATCAGTTCAGGAGCACTGAAAGCTGATGTTTCCTACCCTAGTCATCAATGTGTCATTGAATGAGATTTCTAACAAAAATTAAGTGAAACTGCATTTCCCACATAAAAAGTATGCCGGAAATACTGAAGGAATGCGAGAGCTATTTTGAAGGGCTACCTAGAGAAGGCAGCATATATTCTGCTCTTCACTCTTCCAAAGCAAAAACATTTCTCAATTTTTTTTTTCTTTCTTTT